CGAGGGGCAACATCGGTAACGTAGAAAATTAAGCCTAATTAATAGGCTATGCAAAGGAACTAGTTCCGAACTTATAGCAGTCACTAGTCAGCCTATCATAACTCATCTTAATGATGTCATTTGCCTCTGTGTAGATTCTGTGGTATATAAACTGACTGAGGACAGGTGTGTTGTTAGCTCAGTCAGATGACTACAGAGCGGAGGGTTGGTTCGAAACCTTGTAGAGTTTTAAACTTTGGTCATTTAATTGAAGAGTTGTCAAGGTCCTCACCCATCCATTTGGCTAGGTCCTGCCTCTTAAATAACCTGCAGTGTTGAGTGGAATGTTAAACCTGTACAATTTCGGAAGAGAAAAAAACAAAACAAACCAAAACCTGCCAAAAAAACCCAAACAAACAACAAAAACAAACAATACAAAAGAAATTGTTTTTGTAAAGTGTTTTACGGCGCTCGCAACTGCATAAGGTCATATGAGCGTGCAGGAAACACCTAATATTTTCAGTTGGTAGGAAAATTTGAATTTTGCCCAGATGGCGGCCGAAGCCTACTCTTATCGATTTTAGACCACCACGCGGGATCTTTAACGTGCGCAACTTGCACATGGGCCCTCCGAGATTTTTTGCCCTTGTCCGAGAAGGCTAGGTGTAGATCTTTCCTACCAGAAGATCAAGGGTGTGGCTGAAAGACAGCAGTAAGAAGAAGCTAAGGAGTAGCAATAGAAAGGCTGCAGAAAGAATCAGGAGCCCAGAGGAAGGAGCAAAGGAGGTGAGGGGGTGGGGGCAGAAAAAGAGGACGAAAGCAGACGACAGAGCATTGCTAGAGCAGGAAATGAGGTGAAAGGAGATACAATTTAGAGAAGAAAATTTTTCCGTTGCTACCCGGATTCGAACCTGGGACCTTTTGAATGAGAGACCAACACCTTAACCTCTAGGCCGCGAGAGCCCCCAACAAAAGAAAACAAAAAACGACTGCAGTCTCTGAATCCCTATAAGCTGATTGTAATACTTGTATTTTAAACTTTTGCTATAGGCCTAACTCTACTTTATAAATTTGTCACTGGAGGGCTCTCGTGGCCTAGAGGTTAAGGTGTTGGCCTCTCATTCAAAGGTCCTGGGTTCGAATCCGGGTAGCGAACGAAACATTTTCTTCTCTAAAATTGTCTCCTTTCACCTCATTTCCTGCTCTCTGGCAATATCCTGTCGTCTGCTTTCGTCTCCTCTTCTGCCACCCACCCCTCACCTCCTTTGCCCCCTCCTCTGGGCTCCTGGCTCTTTCTGCAGCCTTTCTACTGCTACTCCTTGGTTCCTTCTAATTACTGCTGTCTTTCAACCGCACCCCAGAACTTCTGGTAGGAAAAATCTGCACTTAACCTTCTCGGACAAGGGCGAAAAATCTCGGGGGGGCTCGTGTGCAATTTGCGCACTTTAAAGATCTTTTGGTGGTCTGAAATCGATAAGAGTGCGTTTCGGCCGCCACCCCGGCAAAATTCAAAATATCATACCAACTACTGAAAAAGTTTAATATGCCCCGCGCACTCATAGGACATTATGCAGTGGCGAGCGCCGTAAAACACTTA